ATTTTGCAGATGAGGAAGACAGAGGTTAGATGATTTGTCAAGGGTCATATTTGTTGTTGTTCAGTTGTGTCTGACTCTTTGTGACCCGAAGGATCATAGTATGTCAGACCCTTCTATCCTCCATTATTGGCAAAAGTTTATTGTAATGCTGTAGAGCAGGCATAGTTCTTAAGGAACCTTGCCTCCATTATCTCTTGAAGTCTGTCCAAGTTCATGGTCATTGTTTTCATGATACTATCTATCCATCTCATCCTCTGCCATCCCCCTTTTCTTTTGCCTTCAATCTTTCCCAACATTAGGGTCTTTTCCAATGAATCCTATCTTTTCATTACATGGCCAAAGGATTTAAGCTTCAGCTTCAATATTTGACCTTCAAATGAATAATCTCAATTAATTTCTTTAAGTATTAACTGACTGGATCGCCTTGCTGTTCAAGGGACTCCCAAAAATCTTCTCCAGCACCACAATTTGAAAGTGTCGATTCTGTGGTGCTCAGTTTTCTTATAGTCCAATTGGCACAGCCATAACTGCTACTGGAAAAACTATATGGACCTTTGTCTATATGATCTTTGTATATATGTCTTTGCTGATATGGACTTTTGTTGGCAAGGTGGGCTCTGCTTTTTAGAATGCTGTCCAGATTTGCCATAGCTTTCCTTCCAAGGAGCAAGTATCTTTTAATTTCATGGATGTGGTTGCTGTCTGTAGTGATCTTTGAACCTCTTCTTCTATTTGACCAGAAATGATGGGACGAGTTACCAAGATCTTAGTTTTTTGGACGGTAAGGTTCAAGCCAGCTTTTACATTCTCTTCTTTCACCCTCATCAAGAGGCTTCTTAATTCCTCTTCACTTTCTACCATCACAGTGGAATTGTTAGCATATCTGGGATTGTTGATTGTTCTCCCAGCAACCTTAATTCCAGTTTTTTATTCATCCAGCCTGGCATTTCATATGATGTATTGCATATAAGTTAAATAAAGTAATACTATACAACCTCATCATACTCCTTTTCCAATTTTAAACCAGTCAGCTCTTCCATGTTCAGGTCTAACAGTTGTTTTGTGGCCTACATACAGATTCCTCAAAGACAAGTAAGATGATCTAGTACTCTCATCTCTTTGAGGACCTGCCATGTTTTGTTGTTATCCACACAAAGGTTTCAGTGTAGTCAATGAAGTAGAAGTTGATGTTTTTCTGAAATTCCCTTGCTTTCTCCATAATCCAGTGAATGTTGGCAATTTGATCTCTAGTTCCTCTGCCTCTTTGGAAACTATCCTACTCTTCTGGTAATTCTTGGTTCATCGAGCTTACACAATCTTAAGCATAACTTTGCTGGCTGGTGATATGAGTGCAGTTCTTCAGTAATTTGATCATTCCTTGGCATTGTCCTTCTATAGGATTGGGATGTAAACTGATCTTTTCCAATACAGTGGCCACTGTTGTGTTTTCCAAATTTGCTGGCATATCAAGTGCAACACTTTAACAGCATCATCTTGTAGTGTTTTAAATAGCTCAGCTGGAATTCCATCACCTCCACTAGCCCTATTGTTAACAATGATTCCTAAGGCCCATTGACTTCATTCTCCAGGATGTCTGGCTCTCAGTAACCACACCATCTTGGTTATTGGTGATGTTAAGATCTTTCTTGTATAGTTCTTTTTTGTATTCTTGTCACCTCTTCTTAATCTCTTCTGCTTCTGTTAAATACTTTTTAAAATACATTTTTTTTGTCATTTATCATGCCTATTTGTACATGAAACTTTCCTTTGATATCTCTAATTTTCTTGAAGAGATTTCTTATCTTTCCCAATTTATAGTTTTCTTCTATTTCTCTGTATTACTCATTTAAGAAAACCTTATCTCTCCTTGTTATTCTCTAGAATTCTCCATTCAGTTGGGTATATTTTTCCCTTTCTCAAGAGCAATAACTGCAAGTTAAATGTCTAAGGTAGGATTTGACTCAGGTCTTTCTGATTCCAGGTCCAGCACTCTATTCACTGCACAATTTAGTGACTTTTCGGGTATATTTCCAAATCTGCATATTTTCCTACCTTTCCCTTGTCACCCTGATCTCACTTCTTATACGCCCTATGAGATTTTGAGCAAATCTTTATCTCCCTAAGCCTCAATTTCATTATTTGTGAAATGCAGGGGTTGTATTAGGTGGATTCAAGCTCCCTTGCAACTCTAGACTTACTTCCCCAACGTGGGGAGGCATTAAGAATACTTGTTATGGAAATAAAATTAAATTTAATAGGGATGATATAAAATCTTACACTTGGATTTTTTTTAATCAACTGCACAAGTACAAAATGGCAGTGGGGATGAAGGTGGATGCTGGTATATGAGTGGGGAGTAATAATTCTTATAAAATTGACCTAGAGGGTTTAGGAGACTCAAGTCAGTAATTTAACATGGCAGTCAGAAAAGCTATTAGGACTTAAGACTACATCAACATAAGTATAATTTCCAGAATGGGGTCATACAGGGGTTGTTTGAAGGAACTGGGGCCATTTAGCAAAGAGAAAAGCAACTGCAGTGGGGGTGGGGGTGGGTTACCATCTTAATGACCTTAGGCAAGTCACCAAAATTCTCTGGCTCTCAGTTTTCCTCACCTGTAAATGAAGTAGATGGACTAGATGATCTCTAAGGTGAGTTCTGCTATCTATATCCAGAGTGCCATATACCACCTTCATCTTCTGTAATCCACTATAGATTTAGTAAACTCAGATAGGCAAAACTCCCAGTTTCATTCCTTTCCCCCAACTCAATGGATTTCCCTAAAAACCTGTGAGGTTATTTTAGAATACAGATATATTCTTGATCATTAGATCCTGTATTGCTACCTCCTGATAGCTGGGGCACATTACTTGTCCTTCTTGTGATTCCCTACTCTCCTCCCCCTTTCCTTGGTGCCTCTGTCCTGCTCCCTGGGGAGAACCTAGGTTTGACAGTGGTTGGAGGCCTGACAATAAGACAATATCTTTGCTGAGGTTCCCTTTCCAAGATTATGGAGATGTCTTACTACATCCATAATCCTTTGCTGCTGAGAACAAAGAGAATAAGCCACTAGAAACATTCACCAAAAACAAGAAAGCAGCAAAAGATAAAGCTGGCCCAAGGGAAGAAAGAAGGCAGTATTTCAGCAGGAGAGAGCAGTAAGTCTGGCACTACTGCCCTGAGGTTCACAGGATTTTTAGAGGGGTTAATAGACCTTAGACATCTAGTCCAGAGGTTAACCTTTTTTGGTGTGTCATGTACGGACCCCTTTGACAGTCTGACTGTCCTCCCTTGCTTGGAATGCTCTCCCTCCTTATCTCTGCCTTCAAATCTCAGCTAAAATCCCACCTTTGTAAACCAGCCTTTTTTGGCTCTCCTTAATGCTAGTGTCTTCTCAATGAGATCACCTCCAATTTACCCTGTATATGTATATTTTTTCAGAGATCAAAAATCCACCTGCTCCTATTTTTCAGAGAACAAACATTTACCTCTTTCACAACTTGAAAAATAAAAAAAACAAAGTCTTTGTAGCATATATGCATAGTCAAAGAAAACAACCAGCTTGGCCATGTTCCCCCAAAATGTGTCTCAATCTGCAGCTTTGTATATAACTCTTATGTACATAGTTGTTTGCATGTTGTCTCCCTCATTATAAGGGTAGCAAGGCATTGTAGGCAACGACTGGATTTTTGCCTTTCTTTGTACTAGCTTTGTGATTTTCTGCAAGTCACTTAATCTGTCTGCCTCTGTTTTCTCATCTGCAAAATGATAGTAAAAGCACACAGGGCCATTGTGAAGATGATGAGGAAACACACGGAAAACACTTTTGCAAACCGTTAAGGGCTATCATCATTATTATTAATTATTATCTCCAGCCCTTGGCACAGTGCCTGGAGCAGAGTAAGCCAGTTGGAGGAGGAATCCGGAATAGAACCGTGGACCTTCAGGTCAGGAAGACTCCAGTTCTAATGATATTTCAGACACTACCTGACCCTAGGCAAGTCATTTAATCTCTGCCATTTTCTATTGCCTCAGCTGTAAAATGAGAACAAGAATAGTACTAACCTTCCGGGAATCTCAAATGAGGGAATATATGCAGAGGGCTCCATAAATGCTAGCTATCAGGCAACTAGGTGGTGCAGCGGCTATCGTTCTTATTTCCTACACTTCTTAGGTGTATGATCCTGGGGAAGTGACTTAAATCTGCGTCAGTTTCCTCATCTGTAAAACAGCTCGAGCCTCCAGCGTTGTTGTGAGGGTCCGAATGAGTTAACACATGTGATGTCAGTGCCATGTCAATGCTAGAAACCTACGGACTCCCTTCTCAGAACGTTTTTTAAATGCGTAAAGTGAAATACACATGAGTACAAGGGAAACCGACGGCTTGAAAATAGTCATCTATTTGAAAAGAAAAAAAAAAGTCCGGGGACCGCAGGGTAAGAAGTCCAAGCCCAGGAGGAGACTGAGGCCCAGGCTGGCCCAGGCCGGCCCATGAAGCGCTTCGGCCACCCCACTCGTGGGCATTCAGGGCCGGTAAGGGCCGGCACCGACGGCCGCGCCAGCCGGGGCGGGGGGGAGAGGTCCGGGATCCGGCCCAGCCGCCCGCGGGGCAGGCGCCCGAGGCCTGTTCTGCGGCAGGGAAGCGGTAACCGACGTTAAGCTCTGGGAGGGGCGGGAGCTCATCCCGGAAGGCCTCGGCTCGGAGGGCGGGTCTCCGCTCCGCCGGTCTGAGGCTTCCCCTTTAAGGGGCCACCCCCTTTAAGAACCCGGCCTTTCCCGCGCCCGCGCCACGGTCCCTTTAAGCGCGCGCCCCACTGGGCCCCGCCCCTTCCTCCCTTCTCTTCCACCATCTCTTCTTCCTCGGCTCTTGGCTCCTTTAAGCGCGCGCCCGCTTGGGGGGGCCCGCCCCTCCCCCTCCCCTCCCCTTCTCCTCCTTTCCCCTTCGCCCCCTCCTCTCTCCATTCTCGGCCGGCTCCCGGCCTCCGCCCCCGCCCCGCAGTCGCACCCCCGCGCCCGGAGCAGGTCTGGCGGCCGGCGCGTGGCGGTGAGCGCGGGGGGCCGAGGGGGGCCGAGGGGGAGCTTCCTCTCGCCCTTTCCTGTCCTCGCGGGACCCCGGGGGCGGGGCTGGAGCAGGGGGAGGAGGCAGGAGGGAAGGGGGGGATTCAGGTGATGTCCGGGGTGTCGGGGGGACATCCCAGGGCAGACAGCGGGCCGGGGAGCTAGACCAGGTGTGGGCTCGGTGGGCAGAGGGGGAGGACCCGGCCCCGGCGGGGAGGAGGGCGGGGGAGGGGCAGGCTGGGGTCCTGGTAGTGGGGGTTGCCCCTTCTTCCCTTCGGGTCTCCATTCTGGACCCCGGAGGGGAGAGCCCAGTCTAGCCCAGGGCTCCCAGCCTGCCTCGGAGATGTCCCGGGCTTGGTGTTCCCTGGGGTCTGGAGCCTTCGAGGGGATATAACGGGGCCTGTTGACCTCTGTCCTCTGACCCCTGGCCAAGCAGCTGCTGATTGGCACCCCTACAGCCGCCTGATAGCTGCGGGTAGGGAGGCTGCTAAACAGCCCTCCCCGCCCACCCCAAGCCTGGGCAGGAGTCCCTTCCCAAGGTGGCAGGGTGGGTGGACCCCTGGCTTGGGGGGGGTCGTGTCGGAAGTGGAGGTTGTGGGGAGAGAGCAGATGCCCGGAGGGGGTGCAGATGGCCAGCTTGCTATGACACAGAGGGGATCTCCTTTTTCTCCCCACCAACCTAGGGCTGGAGTTGGGGTAGGGGGGTCACCTCCTAGGACTGTGCCGAGTGGAAAACTTCTTCCTGCCCGTCAGAAGGCCTGCAGTCAACATGGCAATGCGGGAGCTGGTGGAGGCAGAGTGTGGTGGGGCCAACCCACTCATGAAGCTGGCAGGTCATTTTACCCAAGACAAAGCCTTGCAGCAGGAAGGGCTGCAGCCTGCCCCCTGGCCCCCAGGAACCCCAGCACCTGAATCGGTAAGTATTGTGGAAGTGGGAAGTACAGGATGGGTAGGATATGGGGGGGGGGGAAACTTATGCACCACCATAACTGCCTTCTTTTACTTCTCTCTCTCCTAGGTCTCCAAGCCTTTGGGAGTGGCTTCTGAAAATGAGGTAAACATACAAGACTCCCTTCTGCCACCTCTTCTCTTGTCTCCTTGCCCCAGTGGAAAGAGCGCTGGAATTGCAGGACCTGAGTTCAAATTCTGTCTTTGCTACTTACTACCTGCGTGACCTTGGGCCTCTGGGCCCACTTTCCTCAACTGCAAAATGAGGGAGTTGGAGTAGGTGACCTCTCAGGTCCTTTATGGCTCTAAATCTGTGATCCTATGATACCTTTTCACCTCTTTTCTGTGTTGCCTCTAGATTTTATTCCACTTTTTCTCCTTCACCGGCCTGATGTGCTTTGGCTTCCTCTTCTGTCCTTTTGCATGCTTCTGACTCTGGAGTTTCTAGTTTCTTTGTTTCTGTGTCTGTAGTTTCTATGTTTTTTTCTCTCACCTGTAAGTCTTTGTATGCTGTAGTTTGCAGGCCTCTCTGTCTCCCCAATCTTTTGGCCCCTTTTCCCTTTGAGCCCAAGAGTTTTCCTATTGCTTCTTAATGGTGTCTTTCCTGACAGTTGGTGGCTGAATTCCTTCAGGACCAGAATGCCCCACTTGTGTCCCGGGCTCCCCAAACCTTCAAGATGGATGATCTATTGGCAGAAATGCAAGAAATTGAACAGTCTAGCTTCCGCCAGGCTCCCCAGAGAGGTGGGTCCAGGGCCTGTTGGGAGGGGAGATGGCCAATTTTTGTGCCGTTTTGGGAGACCCTTTCTTTCTTTCTTTCTTTCTTTCTTTCTTTCTTTCTTTCTTTCTT